AATCTTTCACGACCATTTAAACAAAACCCGAATTCACTTGTTTATATAACAACATTAGTGGATGAACATAACTATAAGTTGTCCATTGAAGCTCTACAATTTGAGAAATTAAAGGCATTTACTAAGGAGATGCAAGATGATATTGCATTTTATATGAAAAATGTAATTTTGGTGCAACCATGATTAAGCAAATTTTTAACTAAAAATATCTATTACATCCAATTTTTCCTCAAGACCTTTATGCTGAGATCAAAAGACACAAGCCATCTGCACAATTTGTTAAAGGTGATGCTTTTATGAAGAATTATTGTCTAAACAACGTGAAGATCCTTAGTAGTTTGTAGAAGCGAAGTGGGAATTTGAGACAAGCACACTTATTGGTCTTTTTTGGATGAGTCCAGATCAAATTTTATTATAGTGTGAATTTGGAGATACAATAGACCATGATAACACTGCAGGGATGAATCGATATAATATGCTATTATCAATCTTTGTAGTATTAGATAATAATATGCAATCTAGGATAGTTGCACAAGCATTAATGAGTGACGAGACTACAGATTCATATGAATGGGTGCTGTACATGACTAAAAAAGCAACACAAGGCCGAACACCTAATGTAATTATAACTGATGGGGACCCTGCCATGGAACGTGCGATTATTATTGAGTATCTACCTCTTTTGTATTTGGTATATAAAAGAGAATCTCAAAAAAGCACTTCGTGAAAAATTGGGTAATTCATTTGCAGATTTTTATTTTGCATTTTGGAAATGCCGAAATGCTGAAACTCTTGATACTTTCAATTATTACTGGAGAGAGATGGTTACAAATTATCCAACAGCATCAGAATATCTTGAAAGACAGTTGTATGAGCAATGTAAAGCATAGGCATGTGAGTTTACGACGATGCTATTTACGCTTGGAATTGAGTCAACATCATTCGTAGAAAGCCAGAATGCTTGTATAAAACATGTTCTTGAAAACAATAACACCTCTCTTTGTGAACTTGGTAAAGTTATAATGAATCATGTTGAAGAATGGCTGAAACAAAAACAATATGAAGCTTGAACACGTAGTATTCCTTCAACATCAAATACTTTAACAGTCTTTTCAACTATTGAAGCACTTATTAGGCATTATTTATGACCAAATATTATACAATATTTGCTTAATCAAATGAAAGAAAGCGTCTATTATATTGCATCTCGTTCTAGTATTAAAGAGGTTAAAAATATGTCTATTAATGAGTCATCTCAGGATGAAGATCTAAAGGATGAATTGGATAGTGTATCTATATGCGCAAAATTTCTTTTACAACAATTAGACTATACTAACATTGTTGAAATTTGAAATATTTCATGGGTTACGAGTCATAATATAAATCATATTGTGTTTTGCCTAAAAAATGTGTCATACTGTTGTACATGTTTACTTCAACAAAAAAAAAAGCTTGTTTGCCGTCACTATTTTCATTTATTGAATATCACACAAACAGCACAATTTAATATAAGACTTATTGCTTTTAGATGGATTCCTAAAGACTCTCATCAGGATGTAGCAGTGGAAGATGATCATTTTGGGCAATGGTTTGTTGACAGCATTATAGAGAATGAGGAGAATATAAAAAACAAAGGTCCAAGTTTTAATTGGGTTTAGCCATTTCATAATACGAATAAGCAAGAAAACAATACAAATGAAGGTTTTGTTGATGAACTATTATTTTATAGAAGAGTATGGGGTTTGGCACGTACTGCAACAAACAAGTATTTATTGCATCGTGATGAGAAATTTATTAAAATTATTGAAAACTATTTGGCAAGTATACGTAAATGTGAAGATAATCTTATTTGAAGAAATAGGCAAAATTCTGATTTAGATGATGATTCAAATAAAGAAAATGAGTTAATGAATGTTCAACTTAGAAATCCACAAAAAGTAATTACAAAAAGCAGACCAAAATCTGTAAGTCATCATAACAATGAGACAAATAGGAAGAATAAAAATACAATGCAAGAATTGACGACACATAGAAAGAGAAAAAGGGGTCTGAATCTTTGTAGTAACTGTAAAAAACCAGGTCAGAACATTGCTAGGTATCCTAAAAAAGATATAGAGCAAACAAGTGAAGAAGAGACAGAAGAAGAGATGAAATAACACAACAAATAGTTTATTTTTCTACATACAAACAGCATACAAAGCATAATTTTATAGCTTGCGTTGTAATTATAAAGTTATACTTAATAAACTCTAAGCTTAAAAAGGTGATACCCCAAAAATACTACTTGGGTTTTTATTGGTATCATTCATTTATTCGTATTCGCTTTCTTGTTTTTCTGCAATTCGAAATATTTAGTGCTAGTAATTTGTTTATAAATAAAGCTGCATATAAATGTAAAGTTAAATAACGTTTAGTGTAATACTATAATAAATATTTGTACATACATATGGTACGCATATTAATAGTTTAATATATATCGATACACATTTCAATCTGTATTGTGAGAAAAAAGTATTTTTAAATATAGTAATCATTCTTTTACATTCAGTATTTTTACATCAAAAACTATTTTCTTTAAGATACAAATATATCATCATCACAGAATTGATATTTATCAGGTTGTTTAATTATTTGTTGTTCGATCAAAAAATTGATACATTCTTTTTCATCAAAGAAAATTTTATTTTGTATTTTAAATTTTGAATCCATTAATTAAAC